TTATTAATCTTATTTAATCTTTCAAAAAACCAGCTCTTTGATTCATTAATTCTTTGCATTGCTTTCTTTGTCTCAATTTCATTAATTTCTCCTCTAATTTTCATAATCATCTTTGGGCTTTGGGCTTGGCTTGATTTTCTTTTTCTAAAAGCTTGGAGTACAGCATTAGGGTATTTATTTGTTTTCATTCTGTTTTCCTAGTGTCTGAGTTCACCATTATAAATTTCCCACTGAAAACTGATTTCATTCCATCCCACAAATTCCAGTAAATTCTGTTTTAATTTAGATAGATATTGTATAGTTTCTTGTTTAAAGTTACCTCTAACCCATTTGTTGTTTAGGAGGGTGTTATTTAATTTCCATATGTTTATGAGTGTTTGTGTTTCTCATTAATTTCCAATTTCTTTTCACTGTGGTCAGGTAATATGCATGGGATAATTCTGTATTGTTGCATTTACTTAAGCATGATCTATGGATTAGTGTATTTGTCTGTTTTAAAGACCATCCTATGGGAAGCTGAAAAGAATGTGTATTCAGATGTTGTTGGGTAGAACACTCTATATATGTCCACTAAGTCCATTAATTCAATGGTTTCATTCAGTTTTGCTACCTCTTTGATAATTTTTTGTCTGCTTGACCTATCTTTTGGAGATAAAGGCATGTTAAGTTCCACTGTTAATATTGTGATGTTGCTTATTAGATTTTTCCTGTCTATTGAAATTTGTTTTATATAGTTGGGTGCTCACATATTTGGTGCACAGATACCTATGACTGTTATCTGTTCCTCTTGATATTTTTTCCCTCTCCAGTATGCAGTGATCTCTTTTTCTTTATCTCATTTGATCATTCTTGGTTTGAAATTCAGATTTTCTGAGAACAGGATAGCTACCCCTGCTTTTTTCTGAGGTCCTGCAGCATGTAGAACTGTTTTCTTTCCTTTGACTTTCAGTCTATGAGTTTATTTATGGTTTAAATGTTTTTTCTATACAGTATATTGTTGGATTTTATTTCTTTATCCATTCTGCCAGTCTATTTCTTTTAATTGCTGAATTGAGTCCATTTACATTGGTGCTTATAACTGGCATGTAGTAATTTATGTTTGTCATGTTATTTTCTTGTTGTTGGTTCCCTAAATTTTTCCTGTGTTTAATTGTTTGCCCTGTTTGGTGGCTTTTTTTGTTGTCATTCCAGTCATTTTAATCCCTTTCTAGACTATCTTTTACAAGTCTGTGCAAGATTTGTTTGGTTCTTATGAATTGCTTTAGTTATTCTTTGTAATGGAAGTGTTTTACTTATCCATCAAACTTCAAAGGGAGTTTTTCAAGCTATATCAGCCTGTGTTGGAATTTTTTTTTCTTGTGGCACTTGAAACACTTTGTTTCATGCTTGTCTTGATTTTATGGTTTATGATAAGAAATCTGCTGTTATTCTGCTGGGTTTTACTTTAAATATGATCAGTTTCTTTTCTCTAGAAGCTTTTAGTATTTTGTTCTTGTGCTGAATTTCTGGGATCTTGATTATTACGTGTCTGGGTATAGTTTTAATTGGGTTAATATTATTTGTTTGTTTTTATGAATTTCATTGAGAAAGAAAATAGAAAGTAGACAGTTTCAAAACAGGTTAGTAGGACAGTTATAATAATTAATACACTGCATACTCTTAAAGTTAATTTTACTGAGAAACAAATATCAATGAGACAGTTTTAAAACAGGTTAGTAGGACAGTTAAAATAATACATTGCATATTGTTGTCTTCATAGTAGTTATTCATAGTACAAGATGCAGACATGATATCCTGTCCAAACACTATTAGTACAAATATTTCTTCTCATTGAATTAAGAGAAAGTAACTGTATATTTATCCTAACCATTTTGTATATACAAAATGGTCCTTCATTTATACCCCCTTTTTCGGTTTAGTTTTGTCAGAGATGTTTATTTAACTATCATTTAAATATTGTAAGTGTGTGAATTCAGCAAAATATTCCAATATAGTCTACTAGTCCATAATACTAGTGGATTATAAGTAGCATTGTCAATGTCAGAAGTTGTTGACTTGAACATTTTACAGTTCAGCATATTAATATGGCTTTACTTTTTATACCCTGTTTTTATACTTTTTTGTTGGATGGTTAAGACCAAGATAAAGCAAGACCTATATAACAAGAGATGTAACTTTTGTATCTGCCAAAGTCAGTCAAATCTCCTCAGCATTTACCCTGAAACCCTGTACCAAAGTTTTTAGATCTTTGTCAGTGTCAGCCATGTAGATGAGTCATGACAATTGCTTGACCAATTTGCTCTTTGTGAAAGCCTGAGAGAATGTTTTCTTTGTAGGCAATTCTCCATAGGCTCATTGTACATTTGTCTATCACTTTCCTCTGTGGCCTCAGAATCTCCTTGATCAGAAAATTTGGGACACTGCTGAGTTACAGGATGTTGCAGTACAGGTTCTCTTATGTCCTGAGTCCTCACTGACCTTGAATGGATAGAGCCAAAATGTTGGCTATCCTTTTCGCCCTTCTTTTTCTCTAATTTTTGGTCTTCAAATTTAAGTTGCTAACCCTCTAGAAGAGAAGCTTAATGATATTATTACCCTATAACATAGGCAATTGAGCTTAACCTCACTTAACCTTAATTCAGATATCTGTCTGAATATCAAACATCTTAGACATAACATGGAGCAGTTATTTTCCATCAAGTACTGATATGTTAAACTTTAAATCCCTACAAAATGTGAAGAAAAAATTAAAAATTAAAAATAGGAATAAATAATTACGTATGTTTACACAGAAATTTAGAAATCTAACCATATACAGTGTTGTAGTAGGACAGTCCTATGACATTTTTTTCTTGTCTCTTGCTTTCATTTATTAGCCTGTTTTTCTTAAACATTTACTTGAGAGAGAGTATAGCAATAATTGATATGACATTAGAAGCAGTATGTATTTAGAAGACCAGAATGGCAGGCTTTCCAAGCATGGCCCTAGTACTACACATTGCTACCTTCAGTGAATACATTGTATATTGTTGTCTTTGTAGTATTCAGAGTACAACATGCAGACATGCTATCTTGTCTAAACACTATTCGTATAAATTTTTCTTCTTGTTGAACTAAGCAAAAGTAGCTGTGTATCTATCCTATTTTGTACATACAGATATCTCTATCTATCAATCATCTATCTATCTATCTATCTATCTATCTATCTATCTATCTATCTATCTATCTATCTTTTTTTGCACTGCAAAATGGACTTTCATTTATATCCTCCTTTTTGTTTAGTTTTGTTAGAGATGGGTGTTCTATTGTCATTCAAATATTGTAGGTGCGTGAATTCAGCAAAATAATCCAAAATAGTCCAGTAGTCCATAATAGTAGTGGGTTATCTGCAGAACTGGCAATGTCAGAAGTTGTTGACTTGATCCTTTTACAGCTCAGCATATTAATATGGTTTTACTTCTTATATCTTGCGTTTATACTTTTCTGCTAGATGGTTATGATCAAGATAAAGCAAGACCTACATGACAAAAAAATGTAACTTTTGAATATGACAATGTCAGTCAAATCTCCTCAGCATTTACCTTGAAACTCTGTACAGCAGTTTGTAGATGTTTTGTCAGTTTCAGCCATCTAGATGAGTCATGGCCATCGCTTGACCAATTTTCTCTCTGTGAAAGCCTGAGAGAATGTTTTCTCTCTAGGTGACTCTCCTTAGGCACATTATACATCTTCAGTGTCTTTCCTCTGTGGCCCCATTATCTCCTTGAACAGAAAATTTGGGACACCACTGAGTTACAGTACAGGTTCTCTTATGTCCTGAGTCCTCACTGACCTTGAAGGGCTAGGGCCAAAGTATTGGCTTTCCTTGTAGACCTTCTTTTTCTCTAATTGTTTAGTCTGGAAACTTAAGTTGTTAAGAGAAGATTTATGATATTGTTACCCTATAACATAGGCATTTGATCTTAAGATCATTATCTGTCTGAATATCAAATGCCTTAGACATAACATGGAACAGGTATTTTCCAACAATAGTTGACATATTAAACTTTAAATCCATATAGAATGTGAAAACAATTTTAAAAACAATAAAATAAAGATAGACAATTGCATATTTTTACACAGAAATTTAGAAATCTAACCATATACAACATTGTAGCAGTACAGTCCTATGACTTTTTTTCTTTTCCTTTACTACTTTTTTTTTTTTAAAAAAACCAAACATTTATGTGTGTGTATGTGAGAGAGAGTATAACAATAATTAATATGACATTAGAAGCAGTAAGCATTTAGAAGACCAGAATGACAGGCATTGCAAGTATGGCCCTAGTATTAAACATTGTTATCCTTGCTGCAGTTGCTCAGTTCACAGGTATCAGCATATATAGTTAGTCAGGGTGAGAATCCTACCAATTAACTGCTAGTTTAAAAAACCTGATGGAAATTCTCAGGACCATTACCTTAACCGTCTTGTGTATATAAATGTATGGTTTTGCCCCTGCCACATTTCCTAGCTTTTCTCCTTCCCCTCTCTTCATTGTTTAACTCTTAAGTTCTCATTTTCCATTAATTGTGTTATACCTTTCAATTTTTATTTCTTCTGTTGATTTCTTACACCAGGGAGAGTACATGATATTTACACATGTGGGTCTGGTTTATTTCCCTTATGAGTATATCTTCAAGTTGTATTGACTTATATGGGTTAATATTATTTGGAGTTCTATATGCTTTGCTTACCTGAATGTCAGACTGTTTCCTCATGTTTGGAAGTTTTCTGCTACTATTTCTGCCCATATTCTTTTTATGTCATTTGTGTTGGCTCCTTCTTTCTTATTGATGCCTATTAGTCTTTTTTTCCTAATTTTTAATTTTTTTTGTGGAACTGAGGACTCCACTCAGGCCCTTGCGCTTGCCAGGCAAGCACTTATTCTACTGAGCCATCTCCCCAGCCCCTTACTTTTATTCTGAATGGTGTAGTGGACTGAGCTCAGGACCAAAGGATTTTCCAGCCTTCAAGTAACTCTATTTCCTTCTGGTTGAGTCACTGATTTTAGGTTGACTGGGGCACTTTGGGTACTTTTGGCAACTGCTTAGGGGTTCGGGGAGGTTTCTTTGCAGATTTGTTAGCAGTAGTGAAGAGCTTGGCCTCTGGCTTTTTTGGAGTTTGTCTCAGGTCTTTCTTCTCTGGTGAGGATTTCCTTTGTTTCTTCTTCTGTTCTATTTTCAGCTTCTTCTGTGGGCCTGCACCCGGGGTCTCAGGAGGTGGCAGGGCCTTTCTCTTCTTGCCCTGTGGTGTGCTGGGACCAGGACTCTTTTTTGGAGACTTTTTCTGTGGGACATGTTTTTGCACCTTAACACTTTCTTTCACTGGAGTCACACCTATTGGTACCAGTTGTGGAATTTCCTCATCAGATTCATTTGTCACTTTAACTTGGGCTTTCACTTTGCTGGTCTTTTTTTTCTGAGACCCACGGCTCTTCACAAAAGCACATTTAGATTTACATGGCATGTCACCTTTAGTTTTAGGTGTCATGTCACCTTTAGTTGGGGCTGATGTAGCCTTCTTAGCTTTTTCCTTTAACTTTTTCTTTTCCCTCTTCAACTTCCGTTTTTCACGAAGTTTTTGCTCTTTCTCTTTCTTCTTAGCCTCGTTTTCCTTCAGTTTGTGGATGACCATTTTGTTGGCATCATTCCGGTAAGAGACAAATGAGGAAAAGATGGGAAGGGAAACTGACTTCCCAGTTTTCACAAACAAGAGTGTCACACTTTCCCACTTCTCGGGTAACTTTTTGGACAGACTTTCTGCCACAGCAACAATGTTTTCAGTGATGTCTTGAGCCTGCGTTCCAGTGTGACCAATGCGTACAGCACCGCAGGAACCACTTTTAGAGATGTTTAAGACAGTCCCACCTAGGGAGTTGTTGATCTCTGCTGATAAATTCTTGGCCAGGAGATTTACAGGTACTGGAACTTTTTTCTTTGATAGAAATGTCTTCCTATATGTGAGGGCAAAAGCCACCTGATTCTTTCATCAGCAAGGAAGAAGTCAAAACTATTCAGGAGCTGGAGCTTGGATTCATAGGCTTTATATTCTGTTCTTAAAGTTCAGAAAGGGATAATCCGAGAAATTGTTTTAATTCCATGCTTGTTCAAAAGCTTTCTATAGAAGCGTTCAGTCTGTTCAGTTGACTGGAGTTCATCCTTGGTAAATAAACAGATTTCTGACAGATCTGACTGAATGCCATGAGGCAAGGACAATCTGACCCTTAGTTCTTTTCTTGGAAGTTTCCATAGTACCACCAGTAAAAATAAATTTTCATTCTTATTCAAAAGTAATCCATTTTTGTTCTTCCTGGACTTAGAATGTGTCAACAAAGCTTCCACTGCCTTTCTAATCTGCTCTTTGTCAAGCTGCGCTAGTGAAGGCTCCTCTGCGGGAGTCAAGGTGGCGGGCAAACCCGACTCCTGGGAGGAGGACGGGTCCTCCATCTCACTCTCACCTCGTGCAAACCAACACTCTACTCCCTATTAGTCTTATATTGTGCATCTTTGCATTGTTTTGTAGCTGTTGGATTATTATTTCCTGGATCTTGGTTGTTTTCAAGAGATTTTTTTCTTTCCTGGTCACTAACTAGAACTCTGTGTTCAAGTCTGAAAGTCTATCTTCATTTTTATCCTAATGGTTTTGCCAACTTTTAATGGAGTTTTAAATTTCCTGTACACAATTTTTAGTCTGCTTTATGAATTCTATTTCTTTTCTTTATGAATTTCTATTTCTTTTCTGCTCAAAGTTTCCATTGTTTTTCTATTGTCCTCTATTTTTTTTTAACAGTTTCTTCTTTTGAAATACTTAGTAATTCTTTCATTATAGTTATCATTTTTTTTTAACCTGGGAGATTATTTCTGCTCTGATTTCCCCTATAGCCTTTTGCAGTTGTTTCTGTACTTCAGTTGCTACTATTTCAGAGATTTCAAGTTTGTGACTTTTAATTTCTTCGAAGCTCATGTCTCCTGGATTTATTGTAGCTGGTTTCAGGGCCTGATATTACATTTTCTCCTCTTTTTTTCAGTTTCTATTTCAGAGAATACTCTTTATTTTTGTTTCTGTAATGCTTTTCTAATGTAAATTTGATAGTAGGTAGCTATATCTTGCAATCAGAGCCTCTGTACAGGGGGTCTGTTCTTTAGGTACCTTTTGTGTGTCAGAGACTCATTGATGTGTGTCCTAGATCTTGTCTTCACTATTGTTTGAGAATGAGATATTGCTTTCTGTTTGGCACTGTTCTCTGTCCTTCAGTATAGGACCTTGGTGATGTTATTATCCAAGGTCTGCTGATATTATTAATCAATGGAGAACATGTGGTTAAACAGATATGGTTTCCCATTTGTAGTAGTACAATTAGTAACACTAATAACAGGTAGTGAAATTTAGAGTTTGACCAACTTTTCTAACTAACGGGTCTGTATTTTATACCATAGGAGCAAACAACATAGCTGTATGACAAAGCAGATCGTAAACTGGGAATTCATCTTTACATTAGTTGCCCTGACTTCTGCCTGGTCACCTCCCCTTGATGTACCTGGAATCTTCCAGGCAGACTAGTTCACCCAAGTTACCACCTGCCACCTCCATGCCGCGATGATCCTTACCTTAGCTCTGAGTCTCAGCCTTGGTCTTGTTGGGCTGAGCAGCATGCTTCAGCTCACTTGGTCGAGTTCTATGAAACTCTTGACTGGCTGTCCTTGGCTAAGGTCTGGCTGCTGGGCTCAGGGGCTGCTTCTGGCTGCACCTCACTGAAGTGGACTGACTGCTGGCTGACTTGCTGCTTGGCTGGTGGCTGCATCTGGTTGTGTCCCTCCGAAGTGGACCTGCAACAGGGTCCCACTGTCTGGTTCCCAGAATTTTTACGTATTTAAATTCATCATTTTTCATGGTACTCTAAACTCATAGAATCCTTCAATTTCACATGCCAAAAAATATTAAAACTTTTACTTTCACATGTTAAAAAATTCCAATAAATTTTATCTATTGTTAATTTTTCTTCAGATGTTGCTGCTTATATGATACTTGAGATTACTGAGTCAATCACCTGCAAGATTTGAGTATGTATATCTACAGCTATCTTCTAGTTTTTTAAAAATAATATTTTTTCTAAAAATACCTAATGCAAAATGAACCAGGATCTGCAAGGTCTCACTACACATATCAGACTCATAGAGATCCTCCTGTTTTCATCCTCCCAAGTGCTGGGATTACAGATGCCCTCCACCACACCCAATCTCAATCTCGGTGTCAGTGCAACCCTGGGGTGGGGCCAGCATGCAGGCTGGGGATCGAACCCTAGTCCGTACATCTGCCTAAGCAGGTGCTTTAATCCACTGAGCTATCTGGCCAGCCCTAAAGTATATATTTGTTAATCAATTTTACTTGAAGTACAAAAGTGGGATTTCCCTTGATAGTGCTCTATTTTGTGTCAATAAAATCAAACCTGTAAAAATAAGCTGCTTTGGCACCAATCAGGGTTATCGTCCTTTACCTGAGTTTTAATTCTTTGGGTTTTGCTTTGTATGGAGAGATGGTGCAGCACCTGGCCTTGTGGGCACTTTGATGTAATCGGGGATCCCAAAATACAGGGACACCTTGGCAAATCTGGCACCTTTGCAGTGAATTACACATGCAGGAGAGCGAGGTAAGATGAAGAAGTGAAGCTGCACTTGAAAGGCGACCAAACTTACAGAGGATTTCTTCTCGAGAAGAAATTATTTTGGGAAATAATCTTTCTGGGCCTGGAAGGAACAGGCTTGAAACCATTTTCTCCCAGGTCAAAATGGTTGATCGCAGTTGGGAGAAGTCATTTTCATCTCAACCACAAATTGCTCTTCATTCCTGCAAAACACCATGGAAAGTGCAATGGGAAGCAAGCCAGGCACGCCAGTGGTTTTGCCTTGGGTGCGAATTTGTTCACATAGCTCTAAGTTCAGAACATCATGTTGTGTTCTGGAAATCCCGCAGCAAATTGTTAGGGGATGCGATAGCACAGTGAGGACCATTCAATTCACAAAAGGAATTTCATTGCCAAAATGCAACCAAATATGATACATGTACAAGTGTGTGCACACAAGTGATACATACGTACATGGCCTGCATTTTTGGTCTACTTAGGGAGGTAAAAAGAAAAAAAAAACACAACAAAAAAAATAACCAAATAAGCATGCTAAATTTATTTACTTTTCATTTTGAAAGTTTAATTTCGCCAACTCTCTGATTTACTGCTAGAGGAGGAAAGTCATGGATTGATCTTGGTGAGTTCAGCTGTGATTACTCAGATTAACCATTGCATGACAAGTCACTATATTTGCAGTAAGTTTTGCACTTCTGAGACAAGAGTAGGATGTTGAATCCATTGTCAAAAATAGTTGAAACCTGAGACAGTTGCTATGCTTTCAATGCCCATTGCATTTATTTATACTGAATGAATATCTCCCAGACCTACAGAGAGCAGGTTGTTAACAGCACACTTCCTGCGATTAGCTCTGGGATAATCTGTCCTTCTTGTATTTTTCAAACATTGAAGGGATTGCATAGAGGAGCTGGATAGAAAGTAGTGCCGCTTAATCCCCGACTTGAAGCACATGGAGCCAGGCCTTGGTCATCCTGTTGTGCTGTTTCATGCCCATTCCTTTGTTCTTAGTTGAGTTGAAAATTATTTTCAAGACTGCTAACTTCTTATATCACATATGCTTTTTCAAGGCCTATGGGATATCTGCACATAGCAGGCACTGAAGTGTATGTTTGTTAATTAAGAGCATCATTTCACATTGGAGCACTGTTTACATTCTGATCATCCTGGAAGGTTGGAAGTCTTTTGGCCGTGTGTGTGGCTCCTGCTCAGAATGCACATTTGTTCTTGTGAGAAGCAGCTGAAGCCTATGGTTCCAAGCTGTGACACTGGCTGATCTCACTTTTAGATGACCAGCTCTAAAACTCAGCTAGTATCTTGGACACACCACTCATAAAAATATTGTCAAAAAATTTCTCATTTTACAATACATTTCATATGGTATTTCATGGTCCTCCTGAAAAAAGAATAAATCTTTATTTGATTTTTCCTAGAAAATATACTCCTGGTTACTTTGATAACTGAGCACTTCTTTTTCTCAGGGGACTGCATTTTCACCAGGGCAGTCTTTGCTCTCATCTTGCTTCTGTGAAGCAGAGTTAACAGAGGACCCCAGTGGGCTTGTCCTGGAAGATAGAAGAGTGTGGAGAGGAGCTGGAGAAGACTGTGACATCGAGGTGATATTTTGAAAGAATCTTGCCAAGAATACCCTTGAGAAGTACAACAAAAACGCACTCAATGTGATCATAATATGAAAGGAATATTTAAATTAAAAATATATTGTAGTAAAAGATCTGTTGTCACTACTCCCTCTCAAAAGATCCCCTCTCGATTCTAGCACGTTTAGGCCTGTCACTTTCTGCAGCAGTTTTGGAAGACCTCTTCTGTGGATGTCTTTATGAGCTATGGTCACAAGTATGGAGACCAGGGCCATCTCACTACACAGCAGGCTCACAAGAGCATGACCTCATGGTGTCCTCCTCTGCCTCCTGAATTGGACCTGGCAGTGACAGACTTCTTCATATAGTTGAAATATTGTGTTGTTTTTCCTGTGCAAGGAACTGGAAGTACCATTAGTGAGCAAGATACAAATTAGGTATGAGAAAGTAGAGGGTTTTTTTTTTTTTCAAATGGGAAGGGGAACCAGAGATGAGGAGAGGGTGCAAGGAGGGAAGGGCAAAGAGATTTTAAGGAAAAATAAGAGTTGAACAAATATAGTGGAAGTAGAGCTTTTACAAATGGGAAGAGGAAGAAAAGCTGGAGGGAGAGGAGAGAAAGGAGACAAAACACCCATAATTCAGATATGTTATGCGCATGCACAGATTTGCCCTGGTGAATGTGATCATTATGGACTGAAACTAGGTGCTAATAAAAATGATCAAGAAAGGTAAATAAATAGTTTGACTGCATAAAGGCATCCTTGGTAGCACAACTGAAGAGACTCACGCAAAAGGACTCCTAGAACTACTTCAGGAAGAGGCAAGAATGACAGCACTAAGTGTGCTTTAAGCAAGGGAGTAGTATATCAAGAGAAATGACAGTGTCTTTTTGCAGCACTAATTTTCAAAATGCAAATATTCACTGTATTCTTCTATCGTATCTCATACCTAGTAAGCTGTTTTCTTAATGTAAGTTCAGCACATTAACTTTGAGATGATGCATAAGCTTCATCAACTCAAAAATATCTGTCAATATTTTTGGTATGTTTATAATGTCATCATCACGCAGATTGAGTGTCGTAAAAATTAGGTTGCAGCTCCTTAGTTCCATTAACAAGTCTCTTCATTTTGGATGTAACCAAAAAACTTCTTAAAGTCTCTTTCAGTCTAATAGCATTTCTAAAACTAATTAATGGCGATGACGATTCAGTTGTTTTTATCCACTAAAAATG